AAGGAAGCAAGGAAGGAAGGAAGCAAGGGGCCCCAGAAGCTAAGCCGATTCTTGATCCACTGTACCCCGGCAGGGAGACCGTGGATGTGGCGAAGTATTTAGATTTCGGACGTTGGCTCGAGGCTGCAAATGGCGGCAAATTTGAATGGGGAACTGGAGCGGAAGAAAGAAGTCTCAAGCGCCCAGATACACGTAGACGTGCCGAGGAAGAAACGATTGTACCCTTGAGATTCAACCCCACGAATCTCAACCTGTGCCTCTTCCAGCAATACCGCCTCTTCCGCAAGTGGTGGGTCACTGTGGAGCAAAACCATTCCTGCGGCTTCAGCGCCCGCATCTTGATGAATGCTACGGCGCGTGCAATCGTGGACAAGGACACGGGCTTGCTTGACAGCTCGCCTATCACCAAGGCTTTGCAGAGCATCTGGCTGCGGACGGCAGCGGCCTGGGGTCCGAGGGCATCCCAGCCTAACCAAATTCCTCCGCCCTTCGACCGAAGCACAAAAATCCATACGACGCTTCTACTATGCGCTGCACGAGCAGGAGGAGCGAGGAGGCTGGGGCTCGGCCACAAAAGCATCCCTTGGCAAGATGGAATATCATGTTCCAACCGCAGCCTGCTTGACAGCCCTCGTGCAATTCAGCGCAATGCAGGAAGAGCCGACTTATGTTCTGTCGGACAACGCTGTCAAGTGCGGCATTCGGCACTTCGACATGCGTGTGGTGCACTCTTGCGCCGTTGTCGATTCGGAAATCTCTGCTAAAACGCTTCAGGCACCAGCCAGCTCTCGTCGACCCGGCAGTCCCCCGACTCAGCGCGCAGAGCGTATGCTTCCACAGAGACTGCTTGCCGTTGCCGCCTGCACGAAGAACCGCATTACCATGACGGAAGTGGGTGTGCACATCTCAAGTTTGAAAGGAGCAGCAAAATACGATGCACGGCTGCAACTTTTCCAAGAATTGCAGGGTCTTGGCCTCGGAGAGATCAAGTCGACACGAAGACGCCCGAATTCAGAGGACGGAGGCCGTGGAGTAGAATTTCACCGCTTCGCGTTATCGCCAGCTATAGAGCAAACACTTGCTCAGATGCGGATACCGCTCTGCTTGTGGCCTCTGCCCGCAATGAATGGGGCTGGCAAACGCGCGAAAGCGAAAGCGCATGCAAAGGCTGTGGCAGCGCCGAAAGGGCAAGCAAAAGCAGAGGCTGTTAAGACACGTGGCCGACCCCTGCTGACCGCGATGAGATCTACCCAGTCAAAACCCCGGCCTTTCCGGTTGAACCTCCGTTTACAGCAAAAGAAGCCTTCCTGCACCACGAGAAAAACTGGGCGAGTCGTTTGGTGGAGAATCGTGTCCTGAAGATTCGCCATCAATGGTGCGCTGAGCAGCCCACGGGTTTCAAAGTCCTGTTGTGGTGCAACTCGTGCACTTGCTGCAAAGACAAAAATGGCTGGCGTGGATACCCCACGTACAGCGCGGAGGACAGCTCCATTTCTCGCGCCTACACGCCATGCAGCCAGCATGGCGATTTCGATTCGATGAGGAGATGGACACCCCTTACGTCCACATCTGAGCATGCTCTCCTCGACTTCGTCAAAACCACAACACGCTTCACGACACAGGACCTTGTCAAGATTGTTGAGAAGCATCAAGACATTCGGCCGACTGATGCGTGGCTGACAACATGGTCCAAGAACCATCGTGTCAACAAGGGTACCAAATCCGACCCCTTAAGTCAGTACAAATGGGTCGAAGCGGACTGGCGGCGACTGGAGCGAGAGCTTGGCTCCGCGGACGGGCTTCAGGACGTGCCCGATGCTCTGAAAGTTGCCGGCCTTCCACGGTGGTTGTGTTCTGCAACCCACGCCTGGTCAAGGAGACGCTGCAACGGCTCGTCAACAAAGAGTACGTCAAACTATGCGGGGACGGTACGTTTCGGCTCGTGAAAGAAGACGAGTGGGTTTTGCTGACTGTCGGAGCGCTGTCCAAGCATTACGCGCCTGCAAGTGCTGTCTTTGCCTTCCGCAGCACCTTCAACCCCCTGGCCTTCGCGGTGGCCAACAAAGAAAACGAGCAAACCTACAAGTTTTTTTTCAGCCTCTCGTGCACTGCACGCAGCAGTTTGCCAAGCTCGACCTTGTGGCTACCTGCCAGCAATATCATGCTGACCTGCACGCGGGCGAAAACCTTGCGATGAAAGCGGTTTTTCCGCGTGCTGACCGCCTGGCGGACTGGGCTCGCGTGACTGGGGCTTGCGTGCGGCCAAAGACTAAAACTCCAGCATCTGACCCTGATGGAAAGATCGCTGCGTACCGTGCCGGCATTTTCAAAACCATGAAGAAAGCTCTGACTGCCCACGATCAAGCTCTGTTACCTCTCATTGAAAGAGCTTTCTATTGCCTCCGTGCCATACCAACTGCACTGCTGTTTCATGCCCTGGCACAGACCTTACTTACAACACTCGAGGTGCAGGAGCCCACCGAGCGAACGGCAGCCAACGCTCTGCGTCGACACTACCTCCAGACCTACGACCTGACGGTTGCCCGAAGCCGCTTCGGTCTGAGCGACTGGGGCTCTGGCTCTGAATCAGAAGAACCCTTGAGGCTCGCGGATTGGTGGTGCGGGATCCAGCGCGTCCAGCCAGGCTCAGCATCTGGTACGCAGGTGCAAGAATCCTGGCACCGCCACAAGCTTAAAGCTTATGTGGGGTTGCGCAGCCCTGTCAGCACTCTCGCACAGTCACTGGCTAACTTTGCACATTCGCGACTCTCCGAATTAATCTCCCGGGATAGTCCACTCCCAGATGTTCCCTTGGAGCCTTTTCCAGACAAGCACGTGTTGCTGGACTCGGACAAACTCACCGGCGAGGGCCGAACGTCAGCGCATCAATTCCATCGCACCCGCTGCTATGATGTGTGGACCGACGAAGAAAGCACCGTTTTTGCCATGCCAAACACGTTGGCCCAGTGGGATCACGATCTCGGCAAATGGAACCGAGTGCCAGATGAGTCGGTGATCCCCATGCCACAAGGCCGTGCCTCTCTGCTGCTGCAACTGTTGCGTGCAAAGGAACATCAGGAGCTCGTTCGTGTACTCCGCGAACTCGGTCTCGGAGCAGAGCCCTTGAAACATACCGAAAAGCTTACCAAGTTCTTCAACCAGCACGCTTTCGTCCTCATCGGCAAGGAAGCCATGCGGTATTGGCGCCGAGAAACACCCCAGTCAGAGCGATTGCATGCGCAGGGCGTCCGCGCCTTCTGCTGCCATTTCGCTGTCCACGGCTCGTGCGAGCACGTACATGCCGCTCTTGTCCACTTAAATCAAATTTCCTTGGCCACGCCAGAATTTCCGATAAGGGCGCGGGCAGCCCCTGCATTCGAGCGCGATGCCGTGCCTGTCCTTCTGCCCGGCGCAAGTCGTGGCTGCTGCCAAGCACCATCCTTCTCCAGCAAAGAAACGAGAGTGCTGCTGCAGACCGTGCTCTTGTGCAGCTTCTGCGTACCCTTGACCTTTCTGAGTGGCTTCCGTCTTTTCAAGCTGAAAAGCTCTGCCTCGCACAAATCGCCTCCTTATCTCTGCAAAACTTACGGATTGCCGTCCCAGCTGTCCCAAGTGGCGTCCTCCTTCGTTTGCAACAAGCAGCGAAACTGCAACATGCCCGGGCCTGAGCGAGCATGCATCCATGTTCCTACTCCTTCTGGTCTTCGCCTCTGTCACATGCGCAGTACCGTCTGGTGTTCGCCTGTGTCACATGCGCACTGAGGCATCAGGTCCAGATGAGCGTCCACGCGACGTGGCGCCCGGAGATGGTTTGCGTCCTAGTACGACTATTCTAGTATTCTAGTCGTCGTTCGTCAGAGTAGTATACTTCTAATCGTCCTACGATGCTGCAGTTGCTGCGTGTTGTTGCATGCGTCCCATCTCCATGTTAGTCTTTTATCATGAGCTAACCCCAGGCCAATTCACAATGGGCTGCCGCAGCTGCGCCTTCTGTCGCGGCTGCTGCCGAGGCCGGCCCGGCTGACCTTGCCCACCTGTTGTTGGCGGAGTAGTAGTCGTCCTCTACGTATCCCAGGATGCTGCACTTCCTGCGTGTTGGTGCATGAGTCCCATTTCCATGTCGTTCTTTGATCATGAGCCAACCCCAGGCCAGTTCACACGTGCCAGACTTGGCTGCCGCAGCTGCGCCTCCCGTCCTGGCTGCCGAGGCCGGCTCGGCTGACGTGGCCCAATGGTTGTTGGCGGCGTATCCTAGGATACTCCAGTTCCTGCGTGTTGGCGCATGAGTCGCATCTCCATGTCGGGGTAGGTAACCTTTAGCCTGTTTGGTGTACTATAGCTACTATTAGCGAAGTCGATCCGCTTGTAAAACCCTAAACCCTGACTGTACAAGGGATTGTACAGTCTCTGGGGACCGCGGAAGCACAAGAGGAGGCCTGCGTCACAGAGCTGAGATCCGTGCTGCCATGAGCTGTCGAGCCTGCTACTGAACCCTAGGGTTTAGGGTTTAGGGTCGAGGGTTTATGGTTTAGGGTTTAACCCTGAACCTTAAACCCTAACCCCCGAAACCCTAAACGCCTAAACCCTAAACGCCTCAACCCCTAGACCCTAAACCCCAAACCCTAAACTGCGTTATAGGGCTTGGTGGTGTAGAGTTGAAGCTGCGGGTTGCGGATTTCACAGTTC